AAGTTAGGTGGGAAACTGAGGACTGGGAAGAGAGTGTATGTGGACAAATGCTTACTCTCATAATTCAGAAGCCTGGGAAGCCAGACATCTGAGTGGAGGGAGGCCTTCACAGGTGTGAGTTGGAGATGAGTCCCAGTCACATTCTTATAGCTGAAAATCATCCACAAACTATCCTCCCATATAGTACCCCCTTACTGTTACCTCTTTTTAAAAAATTAAAAAAAAAATCATTTCATTAGGGGCTCATACAACTCTTATCACAATCCATACACACATCAATTGTGTAAAGCGCATTTGTACATTCATTGCCCTCGTCATTCTCAAAACATTTCCTCTCCACTTAAACCCCTGACATTAGGTCCTCATTTTTCCCCTCCCTCTCCGCTCCCCCCTCTCTCATGAGCCCTTGATAATTTATAAATTGTTATTTTGTCATATCTTACCCTGTCCGATGTCTCCCTTCACCCACTTTTCAGTTGTCCGTCCCCCAGGGAGGAGGTCACATATAGTTCCTTATAATCGGTTCCCTCTTTCCTACCCACTCTCCCTCTACCCTCCCTGTTTCGCCACTCACACCACTGGTCCTGTAGGGATCATCCGCCCTAGATTCCCTGTATTTCCATTTCCTATCTGTACCAGTGTACATCCTCTGGTCTAGCCAGACTTGCAAGGTCGAATTCGTGTCATGATAGTGGAAGCGGGGAGGAAACATTTAGGAACTAGAAGAAAGCTGTATTTTTCATCGTTGTTACATCGCACCCTGACTGGCTCGTCTCCTCCCCGAGACTCCTCTGCAAGGGGATCTCCAGTGGCCTACTAATGGGCTTTGGGTCTCCACTCCATCTATAGGAGCAGACATGTTGCTATTGCTCAGGGGACAGTCACTCTCCCTTACCTGCCCGCAACCCTGGTGTTAGGTTATGCCTCCAATGAACTCCAGGTTTAAGGTACTGCCCTATAGGTGTGGTTGTCTGTAATTAGGGGGTTGCATGTCCCAAGACTATATAAGTTGGCGTAAGAATATGTTCTTCCTCACTCTCCCACTTGGACTTGATGTCATGGAGGAGGTGAGCACCCCAAAACTTTTGTCTGCCTCAATTTCCTCCCTTCAATTATACAGTCATTCTTTAGGACCCACCCAGATGTGAGCTGGATCCCACAAAGTAATCCACTTTTATTTTTGAAATGTTGACATAGTTTCCTGCAGATCCTCCAGTATAACCATTTTCACATTTCATTGTGTGCCAAGTAACGTTGATCATAATAGTAATAATAATTTATAATAACTTACATTTATTAAAAATAGCCAGGAAAGCCCACTCTCGGTCAGTTTTCACTCATAGTGATACTTATATAAGCTTTTTGCAACCAATGATCTGTTTAAAGTAGATTGCTTTATCTCTCCCTAAGGGAGCAGCTAGTGGCGGGGAATAGCTAGCCTTGCCGTTAGCAGGGAAACACCTACCATCACGACCAGGAACACATTGCAAAGTGCCTATGTAGCATTTATATATACATAGATGTACATGCATTATACACAAATGCATATGTTCAGTGCACACACATGTGCACATTGCTTTTATAATGTGGAAACACATTATAGGCATTCTATATTTACTATAATGCCCAATAGTCTGCAGGCTGCAAATTCATGAATAATTTAACCAGCCAATATTGCAGGGAGAAAATTGCAGGGGTATTCTAGTAAGCTAAATTCAATTTAGTCTTGGCAAGTCAAAGGGAAAAAGCTTCTTCTGTGAATTGTATGAACAGAACCATTTGTGTTGACAGGGACTTGGAGCTTCACTGGCACTTCATATCAAAGATGAAGACATCTGTAGAAATTTGAGCACTAATTCCCCACCAAATCCCAGTGACCTCTGCCTCCCAGAGCATGTCAGCTAGCAATTCCACAGACCTAAGCCTGTAGTCTTTCTCTCTGATAAACGTGGGAGTCAGGGTGCATTTATCACCAAGAGAAAGATGATCGTTATAACATTTTAAAATTGTTTCTAAAAAAAAATCAGGATCATGGCCCCTAATGCCATCCACTTTATTATCGTTCACTCAGCCCCTATGTCCAAGGAACCAAGCTTCCATGTCTAGATATTCGCTGGCCTTGCACTTAGAGTTTGCAGTCTGCCCCCACTCTTGACACCAGATTGTATTGACAGCATGTTTCAAATTCCTATCTCCAGGGTCTTGGCTGATTTTGGATGGTGAGTTGTCATTGAAAGAATCAACCACAAATCTTTAAATAGTTGAATGCACACACACACACACACACACACACACACACACACGACAATCACAACTCTGTTTTTTGCTTTATAGTCATTATAAGGAAGATTAAAAAAAGGCAGTTCAGTATATTATCCACAAATCACAGAGCACAAATGATGCTTAATTACTTTTCTACTATAGTTCCGTCGATGAATACTTATGATATATGTTGGCTTATTGTTTGTTTCTTGTCAAAACAGCGAGTGTCAAACAAGCACAATATTCAATTTACTTATACATAGAAGAAAATATGGCAGCCTGTATTTTGTATATGATAAAGGAGTCCACCTCGTGGCATCATAGTTAAAGTATTCGGCTGCTAGCCTAATTGCCATTAGCCTGAGTTTAGCAGCCACTTGCCAGAAGACAGGTAGAGCGGTCTGTTTCCATATGACTCCAGCTTTAGAATCCTATAGGGTTGTTGTCCAGAAATTCTAATATGAACAAATCTCCTTGATTTTCAATGATGTCAATTTAGTACCCAACATGCAGAGGCCAGTGCAACATTCCAATTAGAAATAATTTTATTAGGTGACCATTAAATGCCAGTCACTGTTTCTAGAAATATGAAAGCTAAAAATGCACAGCCTCTTCGCTGTGGTAATTGTGTTTTCATCATGCTGATATACTATGTGTCAAACATTTATACAACTTGAAACCCTATTGTAAAAAATATGGGAGGAAGTGGGGGGCACTGGGGGGGAGGGTGTTTCTTTCTATTTCCCTGTGCTGGGCAAAGGAACCCTGGTAACATAGTGATTAGGCTTTGCTGAAACCCTCAACATCAGCAGTTCGAAACCACCACTCTGAGGAAAAAGTCAAGATTTTCTACTCCCTCAGACAGTTACATTCAGAAACTCAGTTCTCCCTTGTCCTGCAGGGTCGCTGTGAGTCAGCGTTGACTGGTGGCAGTGCATTTGTTTGCTTGGGTCCCTAAGCTGTACAACATGTTTCTCTCCTCGGTCAACCTAATAGGACCCTTAGTTGTAAAAGGAAGGTGTGTTTGTATAATGGTGGGTGATAGATAGAGATGCATTTTCTGCGATTATTCAAGTTACAAGTCCAGGTCACATTAGATCCATTGACATCATCTAATATTCCAGTGCCTTGCTATAGAAACAGAAAACACGGGGAGTTTCATCACGACGTCGTTCCCTTGTCTTGGAACACCTGGAGAGTGCACTGAACAGGTCCGCGGACAGATGGTAGCAGTTCACGTTTCAGAGTCAAAGAACCGAGGCAGACCCACTCTGTGTCTGGGTTAAGGCAGCTTCTCAGCTGCCATTATTTTGCACGTCTCTAAACACTCACCACTGAAGAGACCACTGTTGTCATTTCCAGTGTTACGCCCTTCTGACCTGGGAAGTTGGAAGAGGGTGAAGCTCCAGCACGAGGCATCCAAGAGTCTTCCACATGAATGACCTCATTTTTCATTATGCCACTGAGCACCCCCCAGAAAGCATTAGCTTTGTATACGAAATTCTACTAGTGTTAAAACTACTGAGCACTAGTTGTTAGGCTGTATATTTACATGCAGCGCATTTTTTTTCACTCACTACAACAAAATTGCTTACAGAGGAAGTAGTTGACAAAATTTAAAATAGGACGGTGGTATCTTTTTGTAAAATTTAAGGTACACACCTGGAGATTGATAGATAAAATTGAAAGGTACTACTCGCGCTGCCCAATGTCTTCAGCAGTTCTCAACCTGTGGGTCGCGACCTCTTTGGGGGGTCGAACCACCCTTTCACAGGGGTCGCCTAAGACCATGGGAACACACATAAATATTTCACAATATATAATTACATACTATTTTGTGATTAATCACCGTGCTTTATGTCTAATTATGTTCAATTTGTAACAATGAAAATACATCCTTCATATCAGCTATTTACATTAAGATTCATAACAGTAGCAAAATTACAGTTATGAAGTAGCAACGAAAATGATTTTATGGTTGGGGGTCACCACAACATGAGGAACTGTATTCAAGGGTCACCGCATTAGGAAGGTCCAGAACCACTGCTTTAGAGGGTCTTATTTATGGCTGCATATTGCTTTAGCTTTGCACTTTGGCACCACCTGGTGGACAAAACACTGTTTATTTTTGAATGTTCAGTTTAAAGGTCTCTCCATATGCTTAGCCTACAACGACACATTATATGATTTATAATTTACTAGTATTAAATGCTACAGGTGATTTTAAGCAAATTGAAATATAAACTCCTGGAGATGTTTTAAAGGACTAGTACCAAGCTGAGTGTCTAAATTGGTTAAATATCCTGACTGCATGTAGATTTTAATAGTATGCTACATATTTAAGCAGGGATTTCCTCCCCTACAGTATAACTATTTATTTGCATATTACATTTTTATATAAAAAGTTAAATAAGGTAAAAACAATTCTGTCTCATCGTAGCAAAGTGTGGTTTAGGTTAGTTTAATATTAACAAATGGAGAGGAGCTTCATAAACAATGCTTTGTGAAGAATATATATTAGAAGTGCAAACATTTATACTGCTGTTTGATACTCTAATACTACAAAATAACAATATTTGTACTGAATTTGTCCTTTATAAACACAATTCAGTTATGGTTTTAGTGTATCTCAGATTTTAATAATGCTTGCAAATTTCCTAAAGCTATATTTGATAATTCTTTATAAGAAGAAAACACTTAAAATGTTCTCCTCTCTCTTCTCTGTTTTCTCCCTAAAGGTCTCGGATGGTACACAGTAAGTTCAGTTTATGGAGAGACCATTAACCTGCCTTGTCGCCTGGATGTACCTCAGAATCTCATGTTTGGCAAGTGGAAATATGTAAGTTAAACTGACCTTGAACTAGGTGAATTACTTCCAGTTTTTGAACTAAAAATTTTTAGATGAGTCAATGAGTTTCAAATTAGCATAATGGCAAAATTTGACTGTGGGTACAAATGTGGGAAGGTGGAATTAATCTGTTGAATATGCTAAAAGAATCATTTCTAAGTCTTACATAACAAATGCTACTTTTAAATAAAGCCAATAAACACGTAATTCTTAGATCATGCTCATTTGAAAGATTTAACCTTAAACATTAGAAGCAGAGAAATAGGCAGCATCCTACACTAAAAGCTATAGACTAGAGTAGGAGAAAGAGAACTGCCATCTCCACGGACCAGTTTGAGCACGATGTGGCTGTTGCAAATCCAGACATGCGCAGCTAGCACACTCACACACTCATAGGGAAGTAATTGCCCATGAGCATTATGACGTCTTTTCTAGAATTTTGCCTTAGCACAGATGTTGTTGGTCTTTTGTTCCATGGAACGTTGTTGATTCTATCTTTTTCTTATAGATAGCAAACCTGCATATATTTTTTTCAGTTATGGAAATATAAAAGGGTGTGAAAATGGAGGGTAGTGATCAGGGAGTTGGGTGTGGTGGTGTTGGGTAACTAGGTTGGATAAAATATCTCAATTCAACTCCTAAAACCACTGAAAGAGACTTCTGTGGAGACTCGTGGTACTTTGCAAGCTTAACTCTGACCCCTTGAGCACAATCACTTTTACTAATCTCGTGTAGAACAGAACAAACTTGCTCCAGCTCCTCGAAGTGTGGACAGGTATGTGCATAGGAAAGGAATTTGATGGCCCACAGTTGCTGGACTTTTCCTTATTACAAAATCCCTGAGAGTCCTTCAAATGTCAGAGTACATTGTGAACCCTGTGAGGGACATATTTCAACTTATTAAGGTTTTTTTTTGTTTGTTTGTTTTTTTGACTATCCAAAGTTTTGCTTTTCTCCTCCAAACTCTCCAAGACTTCAGTATTCTGAAGAACAGGTTCTGGGAAATGTGCTTCAGGTTGCTCTTGGGGTGATATGTGTGACACCGTCTTTTAAAATGTGAGTTCTCAAGTCTGACCAAGAGCCTTTACCCTGTGCTCACTGCAATTCTGCTGCAAGTGAGTTCGTCCCCATTCTCTCATCTAGGAAATGTAGATGAGCATAGAATCTTGCTCACGGCGTCACTAGAGGTTTGCATGACGCCGTTCCTATGAAAATGCTTATCTAGTGCTTGGCAATTGGCTTGACAAATGTCCCTTGCTCTGACTGTGGGGCGATCAATCGAATCTAATGCATAGAAAAAGAAAGGTCCCCACATATCCTTTCTTTGTACTCTCCTCCTGTTATCCAGTTCCTGCTGGGTAAATTTCAATTATTTCTCTTTTCCTAAGAAGGTGGAAGTTTGATATAAGACCCAGGAGGGAAAAATGTGTATTAGCACCCCCAAAATTCTAAGGTACCGACTAACTGTCACATAATTCATCTGTTGGATCAAACTTACTGCCACAATAAATTGAATGCAGGTGATGAAAAACTTCTGCAATCATAGAAGATTCTAACTACAACCAAGGGAGCAATTTTTACCTGCACTGATACAGAGATATTTGGGAAACAAACAATAATGGCAATTTTCAAATTGTCAGGCAAAAAGCTTCGGCAATAAAATGATGAGAGGTACATGTGAAAGGTTGCGTGCTCTCCAAGGAGTTCCCTGGGAGGGAAGCTCAAAGTTTCCCTGTGTAACCCTCCCACCCGCACTCCTGGCTTCTTTCCACCAGCATCTGCCACAGAACCGGGGACAGAGGAGCTACCGGCGATCCAAATTGGTATATGGAGCCAGGTTGATGAGCTCAAATCTCAGCTTTGCTTCGATAGGTTAGCTGTGACTTTGGACATTATTGATCCAAACGCTGCCTCCTTGCTTAATCTGTAAATGGACCTGATATCACAACTTTCATCTACTGGGTTGGTTCTAAAAATTAAATCAGTCAACATATGGAAAGTCCAAAGCAAAAACAATAACTGTTATTCATTTCTGAAATAGATGAATACTTACACTTAAGGTAACATATTACTCTTAAGGAAGGAATGATTCAAGGCAAAGATTTTTTTAAACTGTTCTAAAATCAAAAGAAATCATGAGAACATAATTTGCATATTTAGCTTTCCACTTGATGAAAATTTTTGGTCTTTTCAAGATTAACTTGATAATCCATATTATTCATTCTTAACGTTTCAAAGCATCTTAAAATTTGTCACACACTTTAATGTGCTTGATCAGATCCCATCTTCTGAAAGGCCTATGAGGTAAGTAGAAGAGGAAATGAGCTTTATCTTAGATCATTAGCTAAGACAATGTTTATGGGAGCATAAGAAATGAATTTGTTACTGTCCTCGGCAAAATTGTATATGCAAACTGTATTTTGATAATGAGGTTTTATATATGAACATATTGAGTTCAGTTATATGCATGAGATGACAAAACAATGGATGTGGTTTCATTGACAATTATTGTACAGGCACGTATACTGTCCCTCCATAAAGATTCCCCAAATAAGCGACGTTCTACGTAAAGCTATCTTCTGTCACTTTTGACTGAAAGATACGGACATTTAAAGTGTATTCCCAGAGTAAGAAAAAAAACATGCCCATGGTCATTGTCCAAAAGATAATTGGGTATTTGTAGCCCAAGTAGTTAATTTTCTGTGATGGGTAGCTGCATATAATACTGTACCTTTTTACTTTCATTTTATCTTTTCTTAAAGCCCTTTCTCATTTCAAAAAAAAAAGTCATTAATTTTGTCTTCCAGGTGCAAGAAAAGTACAGCTTCCCAGGGTTCTGTCTGTTCGTTTTCACACATTTATACTGAGACCTATAAAAGAACTTATAGCGTCTCCATTGAAAAGGAGTAATTTCCTGTAGCCAAAATGTTACATGAGGTGCATATCCAAAAGTATTCGTAATGGACAAAACTACAGATATTAGTGGGAGAAAATGGCCAAGGAAATTTTGTTAGTTGGAGTGTAATCCTGAAACATCTGCATATGCTTGCTTTTGAAATGTGTCTTCCTTTTAACTTTTAGGAAAAGCCCGATGGCTCCCCAGTATTCATTGCCTTCAGGTCATCGACCAAGAAGAGCGTGCAGTACGACGACGTTCCGGAATACAGAGACAGATTGAGCCTCTCCGAGAACTACACTTTGTCCATCAGCCATGCAAGGATCAGTGACGAAAAGAGATTTGTGTGCATGCTAGTGACCGAGGACAACGTGTTTGAGGCCCCTGCAGTAGTCAGGGTCTTCAGTAAGTGGTCTGCAGGGTAACTGCTAAGTGGGATTGATGGCGGGCACTAGAAAATTCTCCTTAGAAATAAGGCTGAACTGTGTAGTGGCTCCACAGCAGGCATCTGTAGGAGAGGATTTCCAGAGATCTCTGTACTACTCGTGGCTGCTGTCAGCCAACAAAACGGAAAACCTGGCATTTAAATAGGAGATTTGCATTTTGCAGCTAAATAAATAATCTCTGTCCTTTTTTTTTTTTTTTTTTTTGAGTACCATGTCCTATGATAACAGAGTGCTCCTGAATGGTAACTGGCACACGATCCTTATGTTTTACTGACTTCTACAAACAAATAGAATACATATATGTTCTGGGATATATACTTACAGAGATTATTTATATATAGATATATATTCATGCAGGAATTGGATATTAAAATGAATATATAGTGATGTGAAGTTACCATCTTTGAAAAAAAATCTTTTAAATCATATATAGGCAAATTCAGACTCTCTATGATCTAGATAGCTAAGCTTTTAATATGATAAATAAATGCATAGATATGTAGCTTCTGGCCTTTAATAAGGAACCATAGTGGCACTGTGGATCAGGCACTGGGCTAATATCTATACGGTCAATAGTGGTTCAAGCCCACCTATGACTCAGAGGAAGACAATGAGGCTGTCTGTCCTGTAATGATTTATAGGAAATGTAACTTTCAGAAACCAGATACTGTATCCCTATGAGTTGAACTGACTAGACAGTACTAGTTTGGGGTTGTGTTTTTGAGTTTGAACCTTGAATGCTTCATAATCTAGTTCCTTAAAGTATTATGTGTAGAAACGTGTCTTAAGGTAAAGAAGTTCATGTGTGGATGCACTAAGTCAGAAAAAAAATAGAAAGCTACAGAAGAAATTTGGAATAATTGCTGTAGTCATTATGGCAAAGTTACTTTGCCTAATGATAATATATAGTTGATGTTACTGTGCAAATAACTATGCAAATGAATGAATTGAGAAGTTCTAATTAAAGCGTTTTATCTTTTAAAATTCACATTAAAAAGTCCCACCTCAGTTACATCATAAAATTACAGGAGGGAAAAACAGATCTCAAAAGTTTCTGAATGCGTCTTTTAAATTAGGCGAAGAAGGCCACCCTTCCAACAGTTTCCCTCAACATCCTGGTAACTTGATAGCAACTCGAAGTTATTAAAATAAATAGAGGGCAGAAACCAAACCCTGTTTCTCTTGTAAGAGACCACACAGCCCTTAGGGCTGCCCCTAAGTATTGGTATGGACTGCAGAGCCTGATGGGTGCATGACACAGAGTCAAAGAGGGCTTGGGCTTGCAAAGGAAACCTGTGAATTTTAGAAGAATGCCGTGAAAGTGTCTTGCATGTGTCAGCTGATTACCTTTCAATTTGGAAGACCCTATCCAGAAACCACATACTCCTCTCAATCATTGTGTGATTCAAACCAAGTGTCTGCCAGTCCCGCCTCCTCCATTAACCATCTTCCCCAAACTTGCATCGTGAAGTTACCAATGGCCCAAATATTTTTCCTTTCTTTTCTTTCACTTTGATGCTTATAGGAAGAACAACGGTGCATTGTGTAGGAGGATCCTTCTGAATGGAAGCAACATCTATATAGTATATATAACATATATACATTTTTAAACTGATAAGCCGTGATGTCAAGCACATCCGTGGTTATGTGCATACATTTGGCATGGGCAGGTTTCATTCTTCCCACTAAAATGAGAAAGCATCACGATAGCATACTTGAGTGTTGAGAAAATTCTGGTTCTTCCATTTAGAAGTATCTCTCGTGAAGGTTTTTGGGCTATTCTTTTTTCAAAGAAATGTCTATGCAGAAATCTGCTGAAGAAAATTCCAGTTGGTCTAATTCGATACAAGTTGCGAGCTGTTTTGGAGCACAGAGGATTTCTATGAGCGTGAAAACAAACTCGCCCCACACACCGCCCACACCCCCTGCCCGCTTCGCTTTTGAATGCTGCAAACAAATGATTCTCAGAAACAGAATTTGCATTCCAGGCTCTAGGCCAGGGAGAATTTAAATAGACAAGTTACACACTTTTGAAAATAATGTTTTGTACTAGGAATCGGAAGACCCTTGAAGTCTAATAAAATGAGCAGCATAGTCAGGATGGAGACAGTGTTTGCGAGCGCATATAGGGCTTGGCTTTTATGAAAATAATGAATTTACTTTGGGTCACATTTGGAAAAGCAAACTGCAGCTGTGACAGGGAGGCTTTATTCTCAGCATGTATATATTGCAGTCACTTGAGAGTCACTGGGCTCATCAATCAGGCCTCTGTTTCTCTCTGGTGAGTCACCTAGCAACATGGACCGTGGACTGCAGCACTGGGGATGCTTAGTGGGAGCCAATCGCTGGGCAACCTGCTGCACATTGCCGTCCTCATAAGCAGAGTCAAACAGTTTTTATGCAAAGTAGAGGCTTAACTCGTGATTATGTTACCTACGACATAGTTTTTTAAAAAAATTATTAGGGGCTCATACAACTCTTATCACAATCCATACACACATCAATTGTGTAAAGCGCATTTGTACATTCATTGCCCTCATCATTCTTAAAACATTT